AAATCACAGAAAAGTTAAAAAGCCGTTCCTGGCGAAAATTTACCCCAACTTCAAGGTCAAATTTCTCTAATGAAAAAATATATCAAACGAAACAAATAGTAACTTTAGGCCCACACTTAAGCAGATTGGAATGAGATTGTTTTTACTCCAAGATTTGTAGGAGGATATCCATTTGGGGGCCAAGATATTCACATATTTCTTTGCTGTTACCATGGCAGTGGGCCAGAAATTTGTTCAGATTTTACAACCTAACTAAAGTGAAGGTGTGACCTCCATGCCAGGTTTGAACAAAATTGGCCCAGCCAAAACAAATGCTAAGATGACGCACACGCGCACGCGCACGCGCACACACGCACACGCACACACGTGATAATAAGGGCAGTCCTAGCGAAGCACATCACAAACAAGGAATATTGAAGGTTGAACATTTATTGTATTGTTGATAGTCAATCTGTGCAATCAGCAGTGTACATAATCAGAGTCCCCCCTATTAGTTTGAGGTACATGTACTATGACATAGTGTATTACAGAGTGAACACATTAAAGTGCCTGTGCAATGCCCACCCTCACGTTTCCCATTTTAGATCTGTGTTCCACTGAAATGGGCAGTTATTGATTTTTTTGCTGAAAATGATTACTCGTATCCAAGTAAATTTGGGATATTTCTCGTGTTGTAGCCACGCCCACCTTTCCTGAAATGGTCGACTGTTTCCGGATTTCCGACTCTCGCCGAAAGTGCGCCACCAAATGACAAAAATGTGAGAGGAAGTCATACCCTCCGCCGTAATAACACTGGTCATTCATTATAGTTTTAAACGATATACATTTTATTTTTTTTGAGAGAGAGTTTTTAGTTGTTGTGTTGTGGGCAGTTGCAGTGAAACGTATAGTCATAGTGTATGTATTCACACGTTTCTAATCGATTCGAAGGTGCGACATCAGTGGACGAAAGCCACTTAACGTAAACCTGGCGCAACACTTTTGAAAGAAATAGATTCCGGACCAGCCCATGATCACCGAGGCGGATTTTAGAAGAGAGAGAGAGAGAGACGTCCGGCAAATGTTTCAAATGAGTTGACTTTTTTTGCGATCGTGATTATCGTTTTATAGAGACCATTTAGTCCCTGTTAAGTAAAAGGTAGCAATAATTTTGACAATGACACGAAAACGAAGCATCGGACAAACAGGAATTTACACAGCCCTTACACACTTCCAATTGTTTTCATTTTCGAAGACTAAACGTTTCTGAATTGTTTGGTGATTGGTGTTGAATGTCGAATTCACACCTCTGTTCCTTTTTTACCTCCATGCTTGCATCTTGATCTGCGTAATAATTTATGAAATAATTATGACAATCACGCCAT